GGTAAATGTGGGTTAAGCTGCAATATGAACTAAGAACTAATATATAAATATTTGTATGGAAAATGATTGTAGTATAAATTCTCTGGTATATATACTTCATATTTAATGCCTCGTTATTGTTGGGATATATGAATATATATATTATTCGGTAAATTTGTTATATTCATTATATGAATATATATAATACACTTCTTAAAAAACCTTAAGAAAGCGTGTTTGAATATACGTATATATCATTCTTATAAAATATAATTACCACCTATACCTATAACACTTTACATTACATGAAGTTAGAGGAGATCAAATTAAATAATCTTAACATGCCGAATATAGAAACCTTGGTGGACATAAGATCATATCAGAAAGTAGAGCGCTGCTATCGGTTAAGTAAAATTTGCTGACAAATCAAACGAAAATCGCTTCGAAACGGAGTGTTTGCCGTCTGCGGTCTGCATATTTAATCTGTTTGTTGTGGAGTTTATACTTTTTGCCGGCTCTTCTTCACCGGTTATATCCGTTTTAATGTGTACATATGTATCGCGCATTTGCTTTCTGGTTACGTCCCTTTTATTTTGGTGAGCCTTGACTGGAGAAGACTATTTCAGTAATGAAAATTCAGTAACGCAGAATGAACGATTTAAGTGCCGCAGTGTCCAAAAGATTATTAAAAAATTGAGTGCTAAATCTTCTAAGTATTCTTGAATAAAGTCTATTTAAGACACAAAATTTATTTACTAGTGTTGAATAATAGTTATTGAATATGTTTTTGTTACTAGTGGTAAGTTAATAATAATTTTTATCTTATTGACTTTTAATTAATGTATAAAGGAATTTGTTCTAAATTTTATCTACTACCAATTAAATATCAGAAACTCATTTTATACAATTGCAGACAGTGAATGAATAAATATATAAGTTATATGTATATGTTATAAATATATATTTCGAATATATCACTGTCAGTAAACCAATGCAATATATAAAGGAAAAAGCATTAATTATTTAAACTTTTGTGAACAATTTAAAAATATACAAAAACTATAACATGTTAGAATAATCGCAATTTTTATTGTTATAACAAGAATATATATTGTATAGAAAAGTGGGTGATTGCCGAAAATTCCATATATCAAGAATTCAATTCTTGGAATGACCAGAAAGCTATTTCGGATACCGTTTATTATCTATAATATTTAGTCTTTGGAAACAATTATTTGTTAAAGACTCTCTTATATAATTATTGGACGACAAACCTCTAGAAAAGAACTACCTCAAATAAATAACTAGAACCACATAAATAATAACCACAGAAAGCTAACGTATGCTCAATTGTCGTTAATTAATTTTGACTGCTGGTAATTATCATTGTCTATTTGTGATTAACAATTACACTTGCTGTGTTATTTTTAGAAGAAACGAATAAACGACAGCTGTTTAAAATTGCTTAATTATAAAAAACTGTTATTTTCTTTAGTTTGAACACTTTTTAAATACATATAGAGTCATTTTTTCGGAAAACATTATTATTATCTAAATAAATATTTTGAATAATTATATAGTAGCCATTACCAATATCACAAATATATTAAAAGAATGTATGAGGTGTATTTTGTATTAATATATGGCAATGAGAAAACTATAAGTCAAGTGTATGGTGCGTTTGCACACAAATTTGTTATTTAATTAATATATGAGTTCTTAAATATGAGTTCTTAATATACATTAGAGAAATATCAGCTGGTAGTTAAATTAAGAATAACTGCCCGACACTAGGTAATTCGAGAGATAATAAAACAGCCGGTTTCAAAGATTGTAGTACATATGTTTTGGAATGTGCAATATTCATTGATAATCTTAAAAATATTAATAAAGGTTTCAATAAATCTCAAAAGTTAATTTTATATAGCTTTACTTTTTGAAATAGCAAAGAAATCTTTCCTTATTCGTGTTAGATTCTATATTAATAACAACTAAGTTATAAAAATGCGCTTGGAACCGTGCAATTCTATAGATCTAGCATTTTCTTCAGAAACAGGTATTGTGTTTCAAAAAAGAAAATGTACCTTATCATAGTTCAATTAAATAACGTTGTACAAATAATCTAAATTTAATTTGAAACTATTCCACCACCTGGCTTATTCACTAAATGTGACCTTTAGCGAGTTATTTGGCGAGTCACCTAAAAAGTATATTCTGGGAAAAGAGATTTAGTTTTAATAACTACGTGATTGTTGTAATATGCACATTTATTTTAGAGGGCTGAGGTCTGAAAAAATCTCTTTTCGATAGATAGAATTTTTCAATTCGATTTGCGGATTCATTAGATTGATATATTGTAGATAGATTTAGATTCTTATAAAAATTATTGTTATATTGTTAAAGGAGAGGAAACTAATGATTAAAATCAAATCGTATAAAAAAATTTCTTTTAAGACCCTAAACTTTTTAGCTATATATAATACGATTTCCTCGAAATTATTTTATTACTTTCATATAAGTTTTTGATTATTCATAATAGTCTATATTTAGATATAGGTAGGTATAGCTATAATTTAATTATTAAACAATGTGGTTTCTGAAGTAAACAGTTTATAGCTTTAGTTTGATTTGGTTTACTATATTCATAGTTATTCTAAAAATTAATAGTTCCTATCTGTATTATTAAAATACAAAGCACATTATTTTTATTGTTAATATATTTCTGATGTGAAGCAAGAACACTTATGCGATTTACTCTAAAAAATTTAGCATACCGAATTAGATTTCTCAACGATATGATGTGAAACGATGCAAAGATTACGAAAAGTCAAAAGTTATTTACATTTATCTAACAAAAATGTTTTCAGTGTATTTTATGTAATATGTATATATACAATAATTCATTTTCAATTCAAATTTATCTTGCCGATATCACATTTCAGCATTTTAAATAGAATCAATTTCAATTTCAAAACTGCGTACTGAATTTACTTATAGACAAATTTATTTATTTTTTTGCAGCTTTATTTTTATAAATACATAAAACATTAGTTGGGATTTTTATTTAACTTTTCTTAAAGTAAAAATCCAATTTTTTTATATTATATATTAACGTGTTTCTTTTATTTCTTTTATTTTAAATCCAATGATTTGTAAATTTAATCAGATTTAGTGGTGGAGATCTTATTTGTATATTTTCATCTACCATATATTCCTAATTTTGGAATACAACAAAATATTCAAGAATAGTTCAAATTACTCAGATGATTATAATTCTTTTTATATAAAATAGTTTGAAATCGAAAATACACCTATATATCGAGTATTAAAGTCAAACTCAAATAGTTAGAGTGGTCAATTTAGTCTTGCAGAGTTCTTGCGATATGTTATTTCAGAAAGTGGAGCATCTTCGATACCGAAATTGCCGGGATGAAATATTGTTAATCTATTTGGCCACTAACGTTCTCTCAATATTTATATTCTGTACACATGGAATAATTTTTTTCTTACCTAAACAGTATTTTTTTCTGTTCAACTTATCATAGATTCGGTAAGATTAATGTGGCAGTCGGCCTAGTTAACCAACTCACTTTGATACGAGAACTTTATTGATATATTTGTAACATTTTGAGGTTTTTATACATCGTATGATGTTTTTAATCAAAACACTGGACACCTCTGTGAGATAACTGAAGACATGTTTGCCTAAGCAGTTGATAATGCTTATAATCAGAGCTGTAGAATAAGTGTTCTTATTCCTCTTTATCTTAATAACTACTACAATATTCATAGGAAGCAACTCGTACCCTAAGATCATTACTACCTAATAGCCTGTGATCGGCTATAAGAACTACGACCTTAGATATGTCCACAATTGGTGGATTAAGTAAATATTCAGATTTCTCCTATTAAGTAACGCCACACAAGCTTAGTCGTTGCACACGTGTCTTCATTTGCTGGTCAATATACCTCCACAAGAGTTGGCAATAGATATCAGACAATATTCAGTTTGCATTCATGGGAAGGTTAGTATACTTTTTTTGATAGAAAAAGAAGGTAAACTATGCCGAAAAAGGGTCCGAGAGTATGAAGGACAGAAAGCAATTACGTCATCAAGAGAGGAACAAATATGCTCCCAATTGGCGCTGAGCTTTGCTGTGGACTTACAAAAACCTATGAAAACGATGTCATCAGGAAATGGTGGAAAGAAAAATTTATAGACCACTGTGTTAATAATGTGGCTCAACGTCAAGTAAAACAATTTCTTATTCTATCGAAGGGAAATCTGAGTAAAAAACTTTCATTGTAGAGGATAGATTTAAGAGCTCCAGCTGGTAACATAACAGGTATAATTTAAATAAGTTGCGACTTTCCGAAACTGATGTCTCTTAGGTTTGTGAAATGGACTTTGAAAGCTTAGAGCATAATCTCTTTGAATGATTAGGTCTTGGCACACATAGACTTCACCGCTTAGATGGCATTATTATATTTCCATTTAAATTATAGAACAACAAATTATGTTAAAATTTATAAGATCCTAAATGCATATAGGGTTAGAGATCTAGGGTATGCACAACAGAGCTATTCAACTACCAGAGCTTTTTTTGGTCTTTAATATAATAATATTATTTCGGAAAATGCTGTTTCAAATTTTTATATGTTATAAGATATGTTATAAATGTTATAAAATACAAACAAAAACTTTCGAGCAATATTAAGTAATATTAATCCCCAACAAGTATTTTATAACAGCTGTTAATATATGTAAAAACAATGCTGTTTAAAAGTGATGTTGGGTGCGAAAGAATATATATTATATTTCTGTTAAGAAAAATGGAAATTTTTTTCCGAACAATCCGTAAGAATATTCATATATGACTTAACATTATATTAAATATTATTTGTTATATTATACTAATTATGTTAGTAATTAGTATTATTAATATTATTTGTTATGTATGTATATTGTAAATATTAAATATTATTAATATATAATATGTCACTTACTTTGTATCACAGTGGATTCATATGAAGAATAACATTTCACTTTGTCTCAATACGATCTTCTCCTTCCAAAAATTATTTGAATTCTTTCTGTTTAGTTGTTCACAGGACTACTTTTGTTATTATTCATAAATTTACTTCAAAATATTCGAAAATCTATCAATGGTCCGCCTGGTCCTTGGGGTTTACCAATACTAGGTTACTTGCCATTTCTAGAGCCACATGCACCTCATAAAACTCTCCAACGCTTGGCACAAAAATATGGCCCCATTTATTCACTACGATTGGGTAATGTGAATGCAATTGTGCTAGCTGATGCTGGTTTGGTGAGAGAATATCTTCGACGTGATGAGTTTACAGCAAGAGCACCACTGTACGTAACCCATGGCATAATGGGAGGATATGGTAAGTTTCGTCATCTAAAATATATAAAATATATAGTCTAATGAATTCAAAACAAAAGACTTAAGACACATACTTTTACTATATAGTGTTAATTTATTACATTAAAATATGTGTAGCTGTGCTAAAAAAATATAATAAAATTTAATTTACTTTTGTGATGTGTTCTAAATTTACTAAAATATGTTATAGTGTAGTATTACTAAGTGAATATAATAATAAAATTTTATTAAAAATATATAAATACATACAATATATATAAATAATTGATAATTTAATTTATTGGTCAATTAAATGAAATTTAAATGTAATTTTTAATTTAATTTAACTCATTAAATATTTTTAATTTAAAATTGAAATCTTAATTTAATGTAATTTAATTAAATATTTTAATTTTTTTTAGATTCTAAAGTGATGGAGATATACGTATTCTCCTTATCCCATGATTCAAGTAATATATATAAACATCTTTGAAGAGCTAATAAAAAATTATTAATAGAGAGGTATTTTGAACTGTAGTGAATAATAACAATAAAATATAATGATTTAATAATTAGTTAAATTTTTGGCTGATCTCTCAGCTGTTTTGAATATTGCCATATACGATTCATAAGTGTCAATATCAATACTCGAAACAGCTCATATGGTCCGTCCGCTAAAAATTCAATTAATTATTAAATAATAAAATTTCTTTGTTGTAGTTCATTCCTGTTCAAAAGAACTCCCTATTAAAGTAATACTTTCTATAAAGAAACATGGTTTTTTTCGCTATTATTGCCTTTAAATATCAAAAATTTATTAGTATTTAGAAATTATAAATAAATTAATTAAATTATTTAATTAATAATGCTTTATTTAATTAAAGCATTAGTGATATACATGTTATATATAGCATTAATACTGTTGCAGGTCTTATTTGTGCTGAGGGTCTATTGTGGAAGGATCAACGACGGCGTACCATCGAATGGTTACGTGAATTGGGCATGACTAAGAAAGCTTGTATGTCTCGTGCAAACCTTGAACTTCGCATCAGCAAAGCTGTTACGGAATGCTTGGAGGTATAAGATATAATTGAAATAAAACGACTTTGAATTAACATAAAGTGATAAATTTGTGTAAAATGAGAATGAGAAGTAATCTGAAAAAATGCATGATTAACGTAGCCAAAGTAAATTAATTTCAATCTTAACAACTTCAGTCAAAAATTATTGTCGACAATTAATTAGCTTGGCTGGTAGACTGTCGCTCTACCGTGAGCATATTTCAGCTGTTTATGCGTGAAAGTAAATGTCCTTTTTCTGCACATGTCTGTCTGTCTGGTCTTCATTTTTTATAAACTTTTGTTTTTTTATTAAAAATATATCTTATATAGTATCTGCCACTGTAATTTGTTAATCATATTGATGTCTCATACTATATACGTATAAAATTTTTGCTTGTATTTTATTTATTTTTTGTTTATTTACTCTACTTTCGCTACGCTTAGTGGTTCCACGAGGATGCTTCACTGGCAGCAGAGTTCAACCCTTTATATGCTATACAACATACTTTGGGCAACATTATCAATGACTTGGTCTTTGGTATCACTTATGCACGCGATGATGTCACTTGGTTGTATTTGCAGCAACTGCAGGAAGAAGGTCTAAAATTGGTTGGCGTGTCTGGTATCGTTAATTTCTTGCCATTTTTAAGGTATTTTATTTTTTGTGAACTAAATTCAGTTTGTGCCTGTTAGCTACAAAGTGTTGCTAACTCCAGAAGATATTTATTATTTCCTGTCTGTAGATATTTCGATATGCGTTGACTGTTTATTTTGTGCTTTTGACAGATATTTACCAAAACAAAGTCGTACAATAAGTTTTTTGCTTGAAGGCAAAAAAAGAACTCATCAAATTTACGATCTCATCATAGAAGCCTGCCTGGAACGCCTTCAGGAAAAGCGTGAACAGCAACAAGAAGCAAGTAAATTGGCAACAGAAACAGAACAAACCAAAAAGACTTGTATTTTGGAATGTTTTTTGGAAGAGCGTGAAAGACGACAGCAAGGAAAAGATCACAAATATTCTACAAACAATGGTGAGGATTTTTATTGTCAACAGCAGTTACGTCATTTATTAGCTGATATGTTTGGTGCGGGAGTTGACACAACACTTACAACTTTACGTTGGTTCTTGCTTTATATGGCCAAAAATATGGATTGTCAAATACAATTGAGAAAAGTAAGTTTTTTTATTTCATTCTTACTTAGAGTCATATAACGAATATATTATTCGCTAGGAGCTGTCACTGCTCCCAAAAGATTCAATTACATTAAGTGATCTAGAACGTATTGATTATTTACGTGCCTGCATTTCTGAAGTACAACGTATAAGGTCTGTTGTGCCTTTAGGTATACCACATGGCGCTGTAAGAGATACTGACGTACATGGCTTACGTATACCGAAAAACTGCATGATTATACCATTGCAATGGGCTATACATATGGATCCGGATGTGTGGCCTGAACCAGAAAGTTTTAAACCGAATAGATTTTTGGATGAGTTTGGTGTATATGACCAACCAGCGGATTTTATACCATTTCAGACGGGAAAACGTATGTGTTTGGGAGATGACTTGGCACGCATGATGTTATTGCTTTATGTTGGTATGATTTTTCGCAAATATACTATCAAACTCGCTCCAGATTATGAAGATATCAGTATGGATGGTGAGTGTGGCATAACATTGGCACCTCATCGTTATAACATAGAAGTAATTGAAAATGATATGTAAGCGTGTCTTTGGTTTAGTAACTCGAAATAAAACAAATTAACTAGAATATTTAAAAGTTTTTTAAAAATAAATATTAAAAAAATTGGCTTAAGGAAATTAAATAAATATTTATCAAAATAATTTACTTAAAACATATAATGTGTTGGTTTTAATTTTGTATTATTAAATTGCTAATGAAGATAGAGTTATATTCTAAATATATATAGAGTTTATAGTTAGAGTTTCATAATAATAAAGATGATGAAAGTTTTTAACTTGAAGAACTCTTTATTCTAGAGCAGCATAATGTTTGTTAATAATATAATATATAATATATATACAAGCATAATGCTTATATATATTTATACACATATAAAAGTGACTTAAAATTGATTTTACTTTAGGTCTTTGTATAAAAAGAAGAAGCCTTTATGGCTTCATCTTAAAAACTGAATTATGGAATCATTTCTCCTTACTTAAAGAATCAAATAAAACAATTGAGAGAAATGAAGCATATCCACAAAGAAACTACTTAAGGACATAACGTTCCCTAAGTAGGTATTCTTTTCGTGTTTAAGTTTTCGTCGCCATAAATGCATTCTGGCAAATCCATATTTTACATGCGGTGTAGGTACTTACAAAAGGATCTAAGTCCAACCAGCATAGGAATGGGATATTCATTTGTGAATCCCGATTTCCATTTGAGTCAGATAATTGTATAAATTATCAATGTTGCTGTTAATCTTCCTTATGTGCTATTCGTCTATCTGACAGTTCTCAGTGATTGCCAGATCTCAATAATCTCAATGAGATAGAGGAATCAAATCCACTTTTTGACAAAGTCTAAGGTTGTTTACCTTTAAGTTTCACAAATCAGTATTAACATCCTTAAGTTTCAATTTTACTTGAGAGCATGTTTATTGTTAACTCAAATGAGGTCTTTGGTTCATCTTTGGCCTTAGACATCAGTCCATGACTTCACAAAAAGTAATTTATATACCTTGCTTCTTAGTATTAATACAGTCCGACGAAAGGATATCCTGCTTATGTATCCTGTTGGTTATGCTTTACTCAGGTCTATATGGATAGACCTATTTTATTACTGGACTTATTCTAAAATAAATACGCATAATTTTTATTTTTATGGTAAAAAAATTTTAAATATATTTTATTTTATTTCTTTTCAGTGTTTTTTAACTTAAAACTATTTTCTTAAAAATAAAAACTTTTTAATATTATTTAACAAACAAAAAACAACATATTGCTTATATAATATTATTATAGATTATAACAAAAATCAACATATTTACAAGCACAAATTATAAATTTGTTTAATATTGTTTTAATTTTTTTATTTTTTTAATTTTTTTTATTTTAAAATTTTTAATTTTATTTTATAATTTTTAATTTTATAAATTTTGCTTCAAAAACAAAGTGGCACGTCGAATGCATGAAAATTAAAATTAAATTTAAAAAAATAATAAAATAAATTATATATATATGTATGTGTGTGTGAGCGTAGGTCAGAATATGTGTAGTTTCTAAATAATGTGAGTTTTTGTGTGCTAAATACACTTAAAAAAATAATTGCTTAATTTAGTTAAAAAAAAGTTTTTTATAGTACTAGTTTGATATGTTGATATTCTAAGGCGTAATTACATATTTCTATACTATTTATTTACATATTTATTTATATTTTGTAATGTGCATTAAATAATTATATATACACATATACATGTGTTTGTATATATGAAAGAATAAAATTAATTATTAACTAATTATTTAAAATTAATATTGAAATTACAAAGTATTTAATGAACACAGCTTCTTGGGGGTTAAAGAATAGAATTTGTTTTCTTATTTTTGTTTGGTTTAAATTAAAAAAATGTTAAATTCCATTTTTAATATATACATATGTAATTAATATATACAATATATATATATGAATTGAACATATGTTTTAAATATTAATACAATATATATATATATATAAATGCAACTAAAATATTAATTTTGTCAATATAAATGCTTATAATTATAAAAATTTATTAATATTGTAGTTGCAATGATTAAAAAGAAGGCGGGGAACTGCGTGTAAACAATATAAAATTAATATATATTTAAAAGAGATATACAATATTTATTAATAATAAATATATATATATAATAATATTATGGCCTATAAGCTGCACATTATTTGCTGCTTTTCTAGTGTTAATAATACAAATCGATGCTTTTTAATTTGAACTTTTTCTGAAAAATATAATTATTATTATAATTTATATAGCAATAATGTACTTTAGACTCTTATTCTGCTATAAAGAAACTAAATTTTTTCACAACAATTAGACTATTCTTAAAAGAAATCTTTTTAAAAATTATTTTTTTTTTTAAAAAAAAAAAGAAATTAACCTTTTTTTATAGTTGCTTTCGTAGCTGTTGTGGTATTGTTGGTTTTAGTGACTTTCGTCGGTTAGGAACTAAACCGTGCTCTGGTATACACAAACAATTCAATTCAAGTTCATTTTTGCAATTTCTCGGTTATCGTTGTGAATGATTATTTATTCATTTTCAATTTCTTTTATATTCATTCTTGTACTCTCCGAAGCTTCGATGAAAGATGAACTGAATTGAAATACGCGGGTATTACATTTAGTTTGAGCCCACATTACGCATGTGATGTGGTTCTGCAACAGTGCTATTCAACACCAATGGACGCGGCGTCAAGCACACCTTGAATGATTCCGGTGTAATTGTAGCGCCAACATTACCTTTCAAACTGGGCAATGGTTGGCCTTCGGGTAGTGTTATATTGAAGCAGTGCATAAATGAAGCGAAAAATAGGAAAAGTTCCATGCGTGCTAAGACATCACCCAAGCACATACGACGTCCCACACCGAATGGTATAAAATATTCGGGCTTGCGTACTTTACCTTCAGAATCTAAGAAGCGACGTGGATTGAATTCTTCTGGTTTGTCCCACAAATTTGGATCCATGTGTACGCTATTAATGAGTGGTATTACATGGGAACCGGCAGGAATTTTATAACCATTCACTTCAACATCTCTAAAAATAAAAAAAAGTAATTTATAATTAATAATATGATCAAAACAGACAAGTTTGCAGTAAAAAGTGTAGGGGGAGATTATGTGACCTTGTGAATGCTTATAAAGGAGATGAATACTTATATAAATAATTGAGCTGATATATATTTATATAATTACAGAATTTTATTAAAGTAGCCCTCTGTCCATGGTTTTATGGGATGGTCTCCCATAGTAGATCTTAAGTTATGTAGTCATTTAAGTCATTTGTGCTTCTGTTTTTTGATCATTAACTAGAGTTATACCAGATCTGAAATTTAATTTGGTCTCTCAGTGCAGAAAAGCACTGTTCTTATAGCAGATTCTTTAAGCATGCAGCTGACTTTAGTCTTACCAAACAGATTCCGTCTTTTGAATGAAGGCCAGAATAAAAGAAAGAAGCTCTTGTTGATAACTAACTAATGTTAGATGGAAGACTTAAGCTTCCAGTCCAGTATCTCTCTCCTGACTATGTTTAAAGCCGAAAAAACATACAAAATATGATAACGACTGCTTATATCTTTTTCTGTCATATTAAAGACTCCTATCTAATAGTTTCTTTAAAATTGCAATACTATTATAAAAAAATATGAAAATTTTCAATCGAATCTTATAATAGATCCCATAGTATATGATTGTATTATAATAAATTGCAATACTTTTTAAGTAAAAATATAATTGAATTTTTAAAAATGATTTGAAATTAAATTTATTTATAAATTTTTTCATACACATTTTAGAAGTGCGGCGACACACATTTTACGATAAGTTCAATAACCTCGACAAATGTTCAATTACAAATTCAAAACCTGCAAATGCCACAATTACCCGCCTGCCACAAGCTCCCCACAAAGCTTGTCTGCACTAAGCCGGCCGGCCTGAGTAATTTTAGAAACTTGAGTAATTTCCATGCACTGTGTAGAACACAACTTAAGTTAAATTAAGTTCAATTGATAAACAAGCTTTAAGCTAAAATGCATAAAAATAACTTTGTATTTAGCATGCAGTTAAGCACATTTGAAAAAACAAGTAATGCGATACGATATGTGCAACAATTTGTAGCGTACACTGAAGTCGACTTATGCTAACGACTTTTGAACTACATACAACACGTGCACTACTTATTGCAAAACAAAACGCATACAATTTTGATTTACAATGGGCATAACATAGTGGGTGGTGTGTTAATGCAAATGTATGGGCTTTTGTATTACTTAGTAAAGCGAAGTGTGAATGTTGACAGTGAGGGTGGAGGTTGCTGAATATGTGTACATGATAGCAAAGCAAAAAAAAAATCATAAAGAATTAGATTTATAACACAATTGAGTTAACTGAATCAAATATATGTAAATATATGATCAAGTATGCCTGACACTCGCCTTTAAAAGCTAGATTTTTTGTTTTAATTGTTTTTTTCTATTTCTGCATATATTACAATAACAACAACAACGAATTGTAAGATTGTTTCTATTGTTGTTGTTCTTGTTGTTGTGTTTGTGCAGTTTGTAGTATTTGCAGTAGTTGTTGCTCTTGCTGTTTGTTGATAGCATCAAGTGCGTTTACAATCAGGCAACAAGAAAAGTGGGACAAATTGCAACTACGCATCGCGAAAGCATATTGCACTCATAGTAAAATAGAAAATGTGAAAAAAAGCAATGGAGTAAAACAAAAAAATATTTGCTTGAGATTGACAAATTGATGGACATTTGCGTAAATTATTAAAATAATCAAATGATTACAGTGTAAAATATGCGCACACACTCACGCACACACGTACAAAGATATGGCGGCTATGCATGGCGATAATGACGATGGGTGTGATATGTCATTTAGTGCAATTGTACGTATTCTGTATATTTGTGTATGCGTGTGTTTGTGTGTAACAATGAAAATCTTATGTTGATAAAAAAAGTACGTTGAACTGTTTTTGTTTTTTTTTTTGTAGTGCGAAAATAATATTTCATATTCTTTTTTGTTGTTGTTTTTGTTGTTGTTGTTTTTGTTTTACTATTTTAATATATACACTGACGTCGTTTAGTTTTGGCGCACTTATATACATGTTTGCTTACAAATGTTTATAAGCATAGTATGAATATTTATTATTGACATTTTAAAATTATGAAAATGTGTAAACATGTTGCGATAATTTTATGTTTGCACAGTTTATCAATGAAAAATCTAATGAATGAAAATTGCTACATAATAACAAAAATATAAATGTACATATATTTATATATGTATATATATATACAATTGAATATGTTTGATAAAATTATGAATGAAATATCCATAGTATTTTTACCCTCCATCCTCGACGTAATATACAACAAAAATATAAGACAAAAAGAAAACTTGAAAATATATGTAGGTATGTAAGAAGGAAAAACCTGACATTACCATAAACACAACCCGGCAAACAATTATTTTGTTTCTGTTTCGTTTTTGTTTTGTTTCTTTATAATGAACATTGTTGTTTGTTTGTTTGTTTGTTTTTTTGTATGTTCCCAAGTTAGTGAGTAAGTGTGGCAGCATGAATGTCAGTAAGTAGCAACATTAATAGCCGCAAAAAACATATAAATATGTGTATGTGTTTGTATAAAATATAATGTATTTTCTTATTGGCACATAAGCGCATATTCACTGCAGGTAGGTATGGTAGGGGGTATAATCTCAAGTGGTTTTACTATAAGCATTATCATGTTGTATGGATAATAATTATAATGATAATTACCTTGTTGGCGAGTGAGTTGTTGCTAATGGTACAATGCTTGAACGTCTCATTGATTCCAAAATTGTCGATTCAGTCACTGGCAAATATTGTAAGTCCTCAATTGACGGCAATCTATGACGGCCAACAACTTGATCAAGTTCGTCTTGCACGCGACGCATCACTTCTGGATTGCGTAGCATAAATACATTTATCCATAAAAGTGTGGTCTTAATTGTTTCCATTCCAGCTGAGAATAGATCGATGATGACTTGCACAATTTGTTCCTCTGCAAAGAGAAGAAAATAATTTTATTTATAAAAATTTATTAAGTATTAAATTCATTAAAAATAATATAATATAATATAATATAATAATATAATATATTAATATTAAAAAAAAAAATAAATAAGTAAAAAAAGATTCACTTTCAATATTAGTCATTAACAATATATAAAAATATTAAATAATAAAAAATATTGATATAATAATATGTATTGATAATAATTACATAATCAAATTAAATTAATTAAAATTATTTAAATAATTAAATAAAAATATTGATAATAAAATATGTAAAAAGTATTAATATATATTATTAAATACACATAAATATTTAATATTAAATACAAAAAATAAAAAAAGCCAAAGTAATAAATAAAAATATTATATTATACATGTATTAATAATACAATGAATAATTAATAATAATGTTTATTATTTGATACATATACATATTAAACTTCAATAAAAATTTATCAATGAAACAAAAAACAAAAAAAAAATTTCAAAGAATTATTAAAAAAATAAATCAATTTACATATTATTTATTTATAATAAATAGAAAATAAAAATATTAATAACAAAATGAAAAAAAAAATTATTAATTAAATTACAAACATCTATATAATTATATATACCTATTTATATTAATAATTATAAACAAATATTATTTTTTTACGTATTTTTATATACCTATAATATTATACATCTTATTCTGAGAAATGTAATTTAAAAAAATATAGCTACTATATATAACAAATTACTATGTCACTTACCATGATTTTTGCCATCGAAGAGTTCTTCATCTCTGCCTTCCGATTTTGCTTTTTCAATTTCTGCCAAATAAAAATCGACCAAATCACGTACATTACTAGGATCGTAAGTTTTCTTATGATCATCGATGACATCCTGATAAAATTTTTGCATTTCTTCACGATTTTTGGCGATTTTATTTTTTGCCGTCAAAATTGATGGAAAGTACTGGACTGTTGGTATATAATCGACAGTATGTATTTCACCAAACAAGCGCATACCCTCTTCAATCAAAAAATTGAAACGTCTGAATTTGGGATCATCAATCGAAAAACGTACAGACATCATAATACTACAGATGACATTACTAACAGCTACAGATATTGCTGGTGCCATGTCCATCGGTTGACCGTCAGATACGCGTAAATTGTGAATATATTCATGGACTTCCGTCTGTAGGGTTAGGAAATAAAATTGATTTTTATGTTTGAGAAAAATGTGAAGATTTGATTTTATTATAAATAATTAAAATTAATAACAAAAAATTAATTTAATTTTGGGGAGTTGATAATTCAAATTTTTTCATTAAATATTAATAAATTATAAATTTCTTTATTTCTATTGATCATTTTTTAAAAGTTAAGAATGTGCTTCTTATTAATAGTAAATAGTACATACCATTATTCTCTTTTCCATGATATGTTTGCCATTGCCCATATAAGTCATGCCAAATTGACGAAGTTTCTCATGCAAGAAACGTCTCTGATCTTTCCACAATTTTCCGGTGCTATTAATTATACCTGAAGATATATAAAATGAAATTATGATAAAATATTTTTATAAATATACATATATTTAAAATAATTAAATATTTTTGTATATTATTATTATGGAGAATTTTAAGTCGAGTATTACTTATGTGAGCTAAGTTCATATTAATGATTGACAATGAAATATTAATCCTATATATGGTTTTAGAGTTACTGAATGAAATCAAAGGCATTTTGTAGTAAACCATTATGTGTGTTTGTAATTGTTTTTATATAAAATAGATATACACTTTAATCATTTGTATATATATTTTAATTTTCGTTAGGTATTTTACTTTAAATCCATTTAATAGAAATACTTTATAACTTTTCCTTATATATATATACTCAACTTAAAAGTACTAATATATATAAATTTGTATACTATATCTAAAATATGTTTCTATTTATTGGATATTTTTACTAAGTTCCCTAATCCTTCGTTAATTGTGCTCAGCTCATATAACTTATAAGTTATAGTGAAATTTTTTATAATCTTGTACATAATAATTAGTTTAATATATTTATGTAAAAATATATAATATTATAATTAATACAATAAAAATTTGGAAAAGTGAAATATTTTATATCGAAACTGACTAACATATTTTTTATTTTATTTTATTTTCTTATGGTTATAAAAGCCTTATTACAAAACAATTCACATCTTCACAGCACGATTCGCATAAAAATATAAAATCCGCAAAAATTATAGTAACTACAATTTTTTTTTCCTTTTTTTTATTTTATATTATTTTTAATTTTTCGGCAAAATATATAAGCGACGGCAACAATAAAAAAAAAATTGACGGCTTTTTATATTTATTTTTGCATCTTCACAATTTTAATTGAGGTAGGCTTTAGCGTAATTTTGGAAGTTGGGTAAAAATAAAAAACATTGTTAAAATGCTTAAAATCATAAAAAGGCCTGAGCTGTCCTACTTTGCTTTTGCTGGCCAAAATAAATGAAAAGACTTTTGAAAGAAATTAACGCACCGAAAACGTGATTTTGGCCAAGAAAAAATTCCAAACACGTTAAGAAAGACACATAAAACGTGATTATTGGCCAAGAAATTGCAATTTTTTATATGAAACGAAACGAAACAATTAAATAAAAATAAATGTAATAATTTATTTTTCAGCAAAAACCAAAAAAAAAAAAAAAAAAATAAAAATGTGAAGATATATTAAAATAATAAGAAACAACAATGTATTTCGAAAATAAAAAAAAATTTATATAAAAAAATATATAAATTAAACCGATTATACAAAAATTTTAAAGTAAAGAAAATTAAACGCAACAAAAATGAGAAAAGCGTTTATATAAAAATTATATAAATTATAAAAATAAATTTAAATAAATATTTATATGTACTTTATATTTTTAAAAATGCGTTATTTTTTTTCTTCAATTTTAATTTTAATTTTTATATATTCTTCTGTTTCGAACGACAGAAACGTGTTTACAATTTTAATGCTGATTGCATTTATACTTTGTTCAGTTTGCAGAAAATTTCGTTTAATTTGTAAAACAAGTGTAAATTTGTTTTAAAAAAAAAATTTTTAAATACCAAATACTATATAAAATATTAAAATAAAATTAAAGCAAAAATGATTAAAATATTTAAATGAGGTATAAATTGTACAAGGCTTTAAGAGCAACTAAATATGTAGTGAGACAGAGCACTTAATTTATGTGAAAGTTAAAATAATAATAATAATAATAATAATAATAATAAATATATAAAACAGAGACGAAAAATATTTTGTAGAATAAGAATGATCTATTTGAAATAAATAATTAATTGAAAAGATAAAGATAAAAATCTTTATCATAAGATATAAAAAATCATAAGATATGGTAGATGAAATTAAAATATATGTGAAATAATATAATATTAAACATAACATAATAATAGAAAAAAGAAAAAAAATATAATATATAGAAGAAAATATATATATAAAATAATATAATATCAAACATAATATAACAAAATATGAAATAATATAATATGATATAATAGCAAAAAGTACATAAAATAAAACATGACATAATATAATATAACATGATAGAAAAATAATATAAAATAATATAATATAAATTAACAATATTTATATCAATTTTTTTATTTTAATTTGACATTTTATATGCCGCCGGTAAAAATTTACTTTGGTGTTTTGCTTCACCTACAATTCCTCTAAGTCTATATATGGCTTACAGATAATCAGATTTATTAAATCTAACCTTAAATAATTTAAAAAGTCTTTATCTATGTTATCTATATTTCAATTATTATAAATAGTTGAAAGCAGTTGACAAATTAGCGCCATATAGCACAAAAATCTTTATCGTAAACAATATAATATAAAAAAAAGAATAATGTAATATCTCTTATTAATAATAATGCTTTTTAATTTTTTTTTATATAAAAAAAGCTGTTTAAAAAAATATTCGACAGTCGCGACTTTTATGTTGTATAGGCACGGAACACATATACTGAAATGGATTATGTTTTCTATAAAGTCATTTTATGGACACTACTATGACATAATTTTTTTTTATATATATTTTTGAACGGATTAATTGATCAATTGTGTAAATAACACAGTTTGTTTTTATAGAATTGGAAATTTTAATTTAAATAATTTTAAATTTTTAATTTTTTTATAAATATTTTCTATTAAATTAACAAAACTCTCAATAATAAAAAAAATTTTCTATATTTATATATAAAAAATTCATAGAAATTTAAAATTTAATTGAAAAAAATATAAAAAAATTAGAATTATAAAAAATTTCAATAATATTGTTAATTTTTTTAATTAATTTTTATACATAAAAATCTCAGCAAAAAAATAAAAATTTTTATATATATAAGTGTTTCAAAATTTATTTAGAAATATATAAATTTTTTTAATAAAATTAGAGTTTTATTGTGAGAAAGGGTATGAAATATATTTCGTAAAATATGAAAAATTAATATAAATTTGAAATATATGTTAATGTAAATAAATGCAATAAATAAATAAAATTTTTTTTAAATAAATAATTTTTAAAAATATTAATACTTAGCTTACATGTGAAAAAATATTTAAACATAAAATATATATTATTTAAATAAAGTAATATGAATATGACTATAGAATGCAGTCGCAACATTGGTTCAAATTAAATTTTTTGTTACAAAAAATTTTTTTTTAAAAACTGTATTATTATTTAAATAAAATAAATTTATTAATACTTCTACACTAAATCAAAAAATATTATTTTAAAAAATTTTTAAAATATTGAATTTTTTTAAAAAAATTTTCAACTCACCAAATCCATTCAATGTTTGCATAAAGGGTGTATCTGGACGTCCAGTGAATTCTTCACGTCTGAAACATTCTCTTATCATTTTATAGTCACTCATAACGACGGTTAATTGATTGCCCAAACGTGTGGAGAAAAGTGAGCCATATTGCTTAGCCAATTCCATGAATCTGGTATGCTTTTCATTGCCCATAAAAAGCAAATAACCGATTACTGGGAAACCCCAAGGGCCCGGTGGTAATTTTCTCAATTCACTGTACAACTTAATCAGCCATTGCAGGAAGCTAACTATAGTTAGTATGCTGATGAAGACGAATAGTAAATGCTGTACATCGTTTGTCTTGTACTGCCGCAGTAATAGTTTAATAAAATATGAATCAGCAATCATTTTGTCGATTTTTTTATAAAATTGAATTGCTTTAAAAATTTTTTTATAAATATTTTAATTTTGTGTAAATTAATTAATATTTTTTTGGTTTCACGTTAATTTAATGTTTTTAATTTTAAAGTGTCTTTTCAACATAAATCACTAGGAATTTTTCAATATTTTTTTTAAAAGTTTATTAAGCATTTATTTTGTTTAATTTTTTCAGCACTTTTCTTTTAAAAATTTCTTAATTTATTTTTAAAAGCATTTTATTTATTTTTAAAAAAATTAAATAATTTTTATTTAATTTTATCTGTTGGTTTAGTTTATGTTTAAAATAAAAAATAATTTTTTTTTATTTTAAATAAATTTTTGAAAAATTTTGCGAACTCTCGTTAGTACCGGAGACGACTTCGCGTTGTGCGTTTTTAGATTACAACTAATGACTTTTACGTATGTCCTTGCTACTTTTATAACAGCAGCCGATCATACGAACAAGTCGTTCTGTTCTCTACAAACAGATTAAACGTATTGAAATATTTATTTTCTCAATGCTATGCTGGTTTGTTTGAGTTCGATGCGTTTCGTCTTGAATGAAGGTAAGCTACGCTTGTATAAGTTCGATACGATACTACGATCGCTTCAAGCTTATACAGTCGGTGCTTATGCTGTCGTTGTTGTGTTGTCGTTGTTGTTGTTGTTGGTGTTGTTATCGTTTCAGTGTTTTTTTTCTGGTTAAAATGATAGCGGCGTTGAATTAAGTTTGTGGGAAAATTTTGAATAGCATTGTTTTGTTGTTGCGTGCAACAGCCTGGCTTGGTATGAAGTTGTCTGATAGTGGCTTTACTTATGAGTATCAAAGTATCAACTAGTATATATGTATATATATGCGTCGTTAGTTTATAAGTAAATTATAAGATTAAAATTGATTGGTATGAGAAAACTTAAGTTGCGTTTGAGTAGCGATTGAACATTGAAACATTATTTAAATTTAAATAATTTTAATTTTATTTTGATATATAAAATCAAAATACTGTTGTAATTACAATATGTAATTTTAATTAAAATAAAATAATTTTGTATATTTGTTGTAGAATTCGTTTTCTTTGTAACTGGCTATACCTCATGTTTGAACTGGTTTGAAATTAAACACTCAAACATTTTACATTTTGCTCAAACTAGTTTCAATGCGACTTATTTTCGAGCTCAAACATATTGAGTCTTTTTTTGTGAAAATAAAAAAAAAATCACTGAACTCATATACATACGTTATGAGTAAAAATATTAAATGATTTTTTTGAGTAAAAATTAACCGCGCCAATTTTTCGACTCATAAAAGCACTAATGTTTTGTTTTGATGTTTAAGTCTTAAGTATTTGGTCTTTGGTGTGGTATGAGTAACTCGATATAATGCATCAATATAAAATGAATTATATGTGTTCTGAATGCATTAGTACTTAAAAAAATTTTTGTTATTTAAAAATTTTAAAATATTTGACTGATTTATGTACATATTATTAACTGATATTAACTGAATATCAAATAGAGTTTCTACAAAATAAATTCTTTAAGCATATCATAGTTATTTTTAGTTTTTTCGTATTAAAATTTTTTAAACTATTTCAAAATTCTTTAAATTTTATATAATTGTACCTAGTAAGTGAAAAATGATATAACAATAGTATTATTTTATTTTAATACTAATTAAAACTGATCTTATGGTATACATGATTATTACTTATACCAGTTCATAAGGTATTTAAGACATTTTTACTAAACTTGAAACTGAAAACGTTGAAACTGTTGTATTTATATGGCTTTCGAACAATGAAGACTCACATTAAACGATTCTGTCATGTACAGTTAAATTTTAAATAAAGGTTGACAATAAATCACTATAGCACAGTCAAATCCCAAATGAAGATTCGCATTATATCGCTATAGATATACGGTCAAATATCAAGTCTCATGATTTACTTTGAATCTTCTAAATCTGAATCTCAAGACTCACATTTCTAACATACTTATAAAATCTAACGGTAAACTAGTAAACAACAAAAGATTCGTTGACGACAATATAGTCCTTATGGACAACATAAATGAACTCGGAAAATTTATTAAAATATTAAAAAGTGCAAAAAGTCTTATACGATTTATGACATTTATATGAATACCTATAAAACCAAGCACATGATTGCCATAAAATATAGGATAGCTGTTTTGCATTATGTATAGCTATATACATTAACTAAAATTGAAAGAGTAAAGTCATATATATGGTAGTTTGTAGAACGACTCCCAGTCTTATAGAAACTGTGAAAGCTGTTTTTACTTTTTAAAGTATAGAAAAGTTCTTTGCAATAGAAACTTAAACATTATATATCGCAAGTGTTACGTCTGGTTTTTTTACGAGGTGTAAAGCAATTAAAAGTTTAAGTCCGTGTAAGATTTCAGGCCAGGCTAAAATCAGTCCGATGTCCTACAGTTCACCTTCTCGGGATACTAATTTGATGCTTCATCAAGAACCCATCTAGAGCACAAAGCTCAAGTGTTGATCACATTCTTGCGTTTATATCTTTTTAAGTGCCATCATAACAGTTGTGTAAGCTGTGAAAATTAAAATTCTTTACCACTCTACGGAGAGCTGTATCGAACATAGAACAAAACAGTATACCAATATGGTATAATACGTAATTCTGAATTCTGAAACCTACGATCTCCATCGAGATGATCGATAATTAAACAAATGATAATTTGCTAACATTTTTTTAAAAAAATTGCAGAAAGAGCAGAGAAGTATTCTATATACAAAATTTACAATAAATAGTTGATTACCGACTTTTGTTATTAGTTTAGGAAAACCAACATGATTGCTATTCTTTTCCAGAAGAGCTTATGCATAGATATTAAGTTTCTTTTTATAAAATCAATGTAAGAGGAAGAGTTGGGTTTTAATTGCTGACTTTATATTTTAAAACATTATTGAGCACAAGTTTTAAGAATACTAGAACGTTATTTACTGGAAAGTTTGTAAAGATACTTTCATGTCATTAGTTGTCTAGCTTATATATATTATTTTCATAGACACTTTATGTCAATCATTGTCAAGTTTATATGTACAATTTTCAGAGATACTTATAAATTAATCATTGCTAAGTATATATGCACAATTTTCAGAGATACTTCCACGATATTTGTTGTCAAGTTTATATGTGCGATTCTCAAAAAGAGTTTTATTTGATTCGTTACAAATTTATGTGTTTAACATTTCAAGATACTTTCAGTTCATTAATGTTCATGTTTACACGTCGTCAGTAAAAAAATTGTCAAATTCCAATGCTTTATATGAAATACTAAATTCATTGCAACCAAATTTTATAAAAATGTGAGGAAGTCAAATAAATTAATTACTAATTAATTACTAATTTTAATATTGGGGGTCGCAATGCTACTGCTGAAGTATCTTTCGCATATATGACATTTCATTGACATTTTATAAAAATGCATCTATACGGAAGAGCTGCTAAGCATTGCAAATTTGCATAGAACTTTTGGATTATCTGAATTTCAAAATCAATGTGCTTTGATAATTCATTTGAAGAGCATTTATAAAATCAAAATTAATATATATATTATTTCAATTATAAATTTGAATAAAAGCAACGATAACAATTTGCATTTGAGGTCAATGGCATAACCTTCATTAAGAGTAAAAATTCACATTTTTGCTAAAACAAAAAAGTCTGTTTCAAAATTATGACAATATTTTTTCAAATACAGTAGACTTGTATTTGCCCTGACGTTGTGGTGCCTTAAGAAGAGAATTCAAATTCGATTGTCAAGTTTAAGATATAAATTTACGTATTGACGTTTGCATATAAATTAAGAACTTAAATGCATTTTTAAATAATAAAAAATTTTAGAAACTGCAGACTTAATCAAGGTTAATTTTAAGGAAACAAGATCAAGGTTCTTTAGCAAATCGAATATTGGAGATACTTTTGAGATTAAGATTTTAATAGATTTTTCGTTTTTTTTTTCCTTATAAAAATGCAAAAGAAAAACGTGAGATTTGCTATCAAACAAGATTTTATTTATATAATATGTATTAATATTAATATAAATATATTATTAATTTTTATATAGAAGATAAAAATTAATAATTTAAATTAAATTATTTGAATTTGCCGCTAAAAGCGATTGTGCGCTGATATTTTAGCCTTTGAATCTGTTGATAAGAATATAAATTGTTTATAAAATACAAACGCGCCCACCATCTAACACAACACTACTCTCCACATATATATGTACACATTATAATGTACATATACAGATATTTACATATAAACACTTCAAGATTTATTTATTTTTATATAAATATACGAGTATAGACGAGTATAATTGAATGTTGAAATACTCGTAGTGCTAATCGTAGTTTTTGAATAGGTAAGCGCACGTAATAAAATTGTTGTATAATTAATTAAAAATATAAGAAAAAAAAAAAAAAACAATTTTGCTAATATTAATAAAACGATTTGATGGGGTTAATAAACTGTTTTGCATTTGTTAAATTGAACAAAAATATATTTATGTATGTGTTTTTGAAAATTTTATAAAAATATTGCATTCTAAAAATCATAAGGAGAGCAACGATTTCAAATGATTTTTAATTTAAAAATAAAAATACAAAGAAATTTTGATTGCTTTCAAGTTGACAACAAATAATTGATAAATATCAATATATAATGTTAAATAGATAGAAATTAAAAAAAATCTCACTAAGCATTATTAATTATATTTAGTTTTTAGAAAATTTTTCTATATAATTTTGATAGACGAGTATTATTGACAAGATGAAACAGTCAATAGAGAATAGAATTAACATATTCTTTCTATATTCTTTCTTATAAGACAAAAAATTATTTCTATTCCAAATGAATTTTTTTACATAAATATTATAAATAAAAATTATTATAAAAATACATGACTTACCCGTAGTGCAGTTACAAAAGAAACAGACT